GAGACTGTCGATCCTGAAATAAAACAGCTTTAATCCGATTACACGAAGCTTCTGCATAGCAGAAAAATGAGTTAATCATTCTTTTATGAACATAAGAAATTGAAACGCTAACATTACGTAAAATAACTTTATGTTTTATTGCATTCGAGTTCTTAAACTCTCTGCAAACAGTTGAAAGTGCTCATGCTATCTAACAACCAATTCCAATACCGATACGTTTGAAGATATGAAATATATAGCCATGTATTATACTCTCGCTTGTTTACATGCGTACTTGACCCATGCCTAGCCCTCAAAGACAAAACAACCTCATAAAAGCACTCAGTAATTAATTACGCACAGTGTTCAGCACAGATTGTTCGTTGTTGCGCATCCCATGGAAACTCACTGGTAAGTAGTCGTAATCGTCCGCGCATCTGTCGTCTGCGCTTCTACTGTCCCGAACTGGCAATTAGCACCTCGGTGCGGCTAATTGTACATGTTCTAATCCCGAGTAATCCTAAGATGGTCAAGGATTCAATGCCGAGATGAGAGTTATGTAAAGGTCTAGGGAAGATAAAACACTGAATCAACCAACAACATTCTGGAAAAGTAAAACAGCAAAAGCTCATAAGATCAATTTAGGGCAACTGAATTCTTTAGAAAGATACACTGAAGAAATCAAACTAACAACTTTAGCTCTCGACTCTACTCTAATAAACTATGATTCTGAAACTGTAAAGTTCTTAAAGAGTACAGTCTTCAACTTCTCTAAAAGCCACAGACACTTAACTAAGAATTACGATTTTCCTAAAAATGGGGTGTGCAAAATTAAAGCAAGTTCCTAGTTGGAGTTTTTTTTCCTTTCTGACAGAATTCTCAAAATCAACAGTAATCAAGTAAGCTTTAGGTTATTGATTCAAGCTATTATCGTTACATCATAGCACAATCTTAAAAAGCTATGTACTTTCTAACAATAAATCAAACAGCGATTTTTACATCTATCTCGCTCCCTTGTTTTTAATGTAACATGTTATATGTCTCACTCCACT